AATGTGCTTTGTGTGGTTTTTGAAATTATTTTGAAAAGGCGCCTTCGTTTAGGCAAACTTTGTAATAGTTCTCGTTTGTAAGAACATATACAAATTGTTGAGCAATTGAAAATGTTTCATGTTTGGAAAATATTTTGAACGTGTTTTTGAAAGTGTTGGTGTTTGTTTTTGAAAATAAGCAAGAGTGTTTGATTTGAAATTGAGCAAGCAACTAGGAACAATCTACCTACTAAAAAAGTCTTAGTTCATTTCTTCCTTTCCTTTAATATTTCTATCCTACCATTGATTCAGTAAGAAGCCTTATCTTTGGATGTAAAGGGACGGACGTAAGTCATCGTATAGCCGTGATAGCAATGTTGTGAAATATCTTAGCAATTTTCTTTGAGGGACTAAGATCATTTTGAAAGGCAATATTTGATAGTGTCATCGAGGGACTATGATCTTGTATTTTGATTGCTTTTTGCTAAGATATTCCACATGCATAACATGGCCATTTTTGTAAGGCAACAAAGTGGAATTACCCTAAGGGTGCAAGTGTGCAAGTGTGTTGATTTACATGCATTGTTTTTTCTTAAATTAGGGTTTGCTAATTTGTTGATTTTATCTTTTCATACAAACCCTAATTACTAGCATTTATATAAAGCGATAAATTGCGAAAAGTAAAAATGCTAAGCTATTACATCATTAGGGGAGGGGGTGTACAAATTTACAAATGGGGATTTTGCAAGAAAATTAAATCTAATTAACTATTACAACCATATTAAATAAATGTACAATAATTGAAAAAAATAATGTACAAATGCAAAATGGAAAAAGAAATGATTTTTGTTTGGTTTTCATGAAAGGGTTTTAACCTAATTAAGAAAATGATTAATAAAAACTAAATAAAATTAACTTAAACTAATTAAGAAAAGAAATTAATTTAAAAGGGTTTTTTAGGATTTTTTTTATGAAAAGGATTTTAAATAATGAAAATAAAATGAGAATTGATTAATTAAAATGAACCTAGGTTGTAAATTAAAGAGAATAATATAATAATTAAACTTAATTATAAAAATTCATTACAAAAGAAATAAATTAACTTGTTTTAAGAAAAATGTTTTTTTAGTCTTATTGTTTTTTATAAATGAAATAAATAAGATGTGAAAATAATAATAATAATATTTTTTTTGGATTTTTTATTAATAAAAATAATAATGATAATAATAATAATAATAATAAAGATATTTAAGAAAATAAAAAATATATAATAAAATAAAAACAAGAAAAATGAAATAATAAAGAAAAATGGGCCAGGGGTGCAAAAATGAAACTGGGGTTAGAAGAAACAAAATATAGTCAGGCCCAATGTTGGAGGTCCAGCGCTGCAAACAGAAACAAAAAAGGAAGTGAAAAATGTACCACTGGGGCTCGAACCCAGGTCCCAAAGGTTAACATGCATGCGCTTTACCACTGGATGGCTATACATCCGTTCATATAAACAAAACAACAAATATATAATATAAATCAAGTCCTGAATGAACTTCATCTTCAATCTCCAGCCAAAGAACCTGTAACTCATTCATTTCTCATCCATTCACAAAACTTCCAACATCAAACTTGTTAGAAATTTCCTCACGATTCTGAATATGTAAATAACTTAAGTTAATTCTCAAAGATGAGCATGAATTTCTAACAGTACCAAATTCTGACCTAAATATTTTCAGAGGTTCAAACTCAAAATTCTCCCTACTCAAGCAACATAAATGAAATCCATGGACATGTATAGCTTCAGGGCAATGGTGTTTACATTTTATATTCACAAATGCAAACCTAATAATGCCTAAATATGAAGATAGAAGTTCAGAAAAATACCTCAAAACTGGAAATCGTGAAATGAGTTTGAGCTTGTTTCAAGTGATGGTGATGATCAGGTTAGCTTCCTTGAACCTCTAGGAAGCCAATGCAATAACTGGCTTAAACTGAGAGTAGCTGAAATGGCTTGGAGAAGTTAAGATGCAGACCTCTGTTTTTGGTTATGGAGGATGGTATAAATGGTGTTACAGTTTGCAAACAGGTATTTGTATGGTTTATGTATGATGCTAAGAAGCTTTTGGAAGTATTAAGCCAAGAAACGCACTAGTTATTTTGAAGATTGAAGTTCAAAATAAAAAATGACACAAAAATTGAGGTTTTGTGCAATTTTTGACTTGTGGGAATTTGGGAGTGCTTAAGGGCTTCTAATCTCGTCTTTGCTTGCAAATAACTTGTATAGTTATAAGCAAGAGGTCTTAGGGTTTGAAGTTGACATATCTGCGAGATATAAAATTATGGCTATGTTACTTGATTTGGAAGAAAAGCGGGAAAACAAGTTTCAATGTGTTGTATAAGCATGGTCTGAGTTAGTAGGAGGTTCTAGCCATGTTGCTTTTGGTTTTTGACTTTGCATGTGTTCAGATGAAACAAGTTAGGAGCTCTATGCATTGACTTTGTGATTAAAGTAACTTTTCTAAAATGGAAGTGTGAACTTTGTTCCATTAATGGAATAATCACTTGGACAATGACTCAAGCACTTGGATCATAGCTCAAATAGTTGTATAATATTCTTATTATGGATAGATTTAGAGGTTAGAAGCCTGCAAAGTAATATTTGTACAACATGGGTGTGCATTGGATCAAATGTTCATCATGAAAATGACTTGAAAAACAAGTTTGAAACCCTAACTTCTTGCCTTCGATTCTCTTAGCTCAAGCATGATATCAATGAGTTCTTGGACATTTTGGAAAGCTTGTAACATACTCTACAAACTATATGTTGGACATTTTTGAAAATTCCTCTTGGAACTATGTGAAAAATGGCCATGAAGTTAGGTTAAAATCCTGCCAAAACTAGGGCAAAATTTCACTAAGTTTCCAAGTTTCATGAACATGTATTCACAAAATCATAACTTGAAATCCATGCATTTCTAGGAGAAGTTGTGTTCTACAATGTTTTAGATCTCATTGAGATATACAACTTTCATGTTTGAAGTTTCCTTTGAATCGTCTTGTATCATGGTGAAAAATTGGCTCAAAGTTGTGAAAAAATATGAAGTTTTCGACACTTTTAGGAAAAAATTTAAGTTTAGAAATTTTGACTTTTCAAAATGAAATATTTAATTTTTGATTTCTTGATGAACAAGTTTCATTTTTTGACATGTTTTGATGAATTGTGTTCTTTGACACTTTATTTTGACCAAAAAGTTAAAGTTTGACTTTTCAGTATACAATTGACTTTTGATTAGTTGACTGAAAATTCATCTGTCAATCAATTGATCTTGAGCAATGTTTTGAGTCATGCCATTAGGTCAAAATGATGTATTTTAACCCTTGAGATCATTCCTTTTATCAATCAATCATTTGCTAGGTCAAAAATCAGAAATTGCACCTTCTCAGTCAAAACCCTAATTTTAACCATTTTGCCCTTTTGATGATCTGATCTAATTTCTTGAGGAATTGTGATCCAAACTTGATCAAATGCCATGTATGAGTTCATGATGTTGATATGGATAAAAAATTATGAAGTTTGACTGTAAATTGACCATAATTGACTTTTTCCCCCAATACAACTGATTTTAGGTCAACTGATAAATTGACCGAGCAAAAATGTGATCCAAGACTTGAAACTTGACATGAGAAATCTTGAGAGTCCAAAATTATCCATGAAAGTCATATGAGGCATTAACATTCCATTTTTCCTTGTGCAATCTCAAACCCTAATTTTCAGTCATCAATGCTTAAGGAGGTGTCTTGAGTTGATCAACGCTTGTGCAGTCTTGAACCAAAGGAGATATTGTGATATATTACTTGAGAAACGAGAGGGAAAATTTTGGGGTACAGCACATAGTAATTAAAATCAATATAAAATAGAGTTAAATTAGTTTTTGGTCCCTCTAAATATTTCAAACTTCATTTTTAGTCCCTCCAATATTTTCCTTCAAGAATTGGTCCCTTCAAAATTTTCCGTCTGAATAATTGGTCCCTAACGTCAAATTCGAATAACGGCTTCTTATGTGGCAAGACATGTGAATTAAATAATTTGTTTTCTATATTTCCATGAAATACAATGTGTACACTGGTCCTTCTTAAAGATGAATCACACTTCATTTGACCTAATTTTTTCCTTTTTGTTCACCTTCTTCTTCCTCCATCGTGAAAATCTGCACCAAACTTGGTTCATTTGTTCATCTTCTTCCTTCTTTCATCTCCTTCCTCCTGCGGCCTGATAACATAATGTCTTCTACTTCAGTGAAATTGCGAGTTGGGAAGTTTTGTGGATGTCAAGTTCGGATGGTATCGTATCATTGCAAGAATGGACCAAATACGGGTAGGTTGTTTTGGGGATATCCTTATTGGAAGAGTTATGATACGTGTAATCTATTCATATGGGATGAATATCTTGGCAAAAAATCTGGAAATAAAGATGTTATCATTAGGAACTCAGAGTTGGAAACCACAACGTCTATGGGATATATGAAGTCCTTGTATGAATATTCAAGGAAGAAGAACAAGAACTTGAAGACCAAGTTGAAAATTGAGAAATTTCATGGAAGATTAAAGATGTTGTGTCTAGTTGTGTCCTTTATGATAAATGTGTATTTTGTTATCAAATGTAGTTGCTGAATTGTTTAATGTAATGAATTTCAATGTAGGTCTTGCTTTAATGTACTTGATAAATGTATTTGATTAATTTTATGAAATACAATTGTTTCAATATTGTTTGTTAGGATTAAGTTGACATAATTTGCAATATTTGGTATAAAAAGTTTGTAATCTGACTGTAATTGGCAAGATAATTTTAGATTCAGCATACAAAACACTTGGTTCATAAAAGGTTCAAAGTGCATAACAAAGTACATAACAAAATACGTACCGAGACATAAGTTTCAAAGTGAATAATAAAATACATAACAAAACACTAGGCTCATAAGACATAAGGTTCAACCAAAACACATTTGTGTCACTTCTGAGTTTTCACTGAGTCACGCTCTTCTAGATGTCATCCCATTTCTTCTTCCCCTAGTACTGCCAATAGTCGAGTCTTCTTCAGGTATTACAAATGGATCGTTTGGATCCCTTCCAGGTCCCTCTATATTCTTTGTCTTCAAAGTCATAAGTCTGTCACTCATTCTACTTGGAGATACAACAATTTTTGACTTTTTCCTTGGTGATATCATTAGTTTCACCTGTTATGACAACATAGAGTTATCAATGTAAAAAAAATATAACATGCCAAATAAGTCTATCAGAACAAGTTACAAACTTATAGGGTCACTCATAGTTGGGTTGACAACAAGTTTAGAAGGTTTTGATACCTTAGGACATTTACCAATAAAGGTTCTGGGACCAAGCCTATTATTCTTTACAGGACTAGTATCAATTCTTAATGGTGCAATATCTAGTATGTGATCATCATTCAACAATGCCTCTAATTCATCAGGATCTATACCACTGTACATTCTCATTGCCTCAGATGAGGTAACAGAAGTTTGTGAAAAGTTTACCCTAGGTTAAGTAGGTGACATCCATCTAACCCTATGAATGGTCTACATCCAACCTTTAATGCTTTCTTTGTACCATCAAAGCACATGTATCACCTTTCAAATCTAGGTGGCAAACCAGAAATGTTCCACTTAAATGTGTTTCCTTTGGATGCCCTCCTCAATTCAGCTCCATATGATCATAACATACTATATTGCTTGGCTGAGTCCCCTTCAACAACCTTTTTAGCTAGTTGTCTTGCTTTGAAAGCCCTACATCCAGTAATTTTTGTAGCAAACCTCAATCTTACATCTGCTACAACTTCATTTAATTTCATACCTGAATTATTCTTTAACTTGTCAACAATCACTCTAGATACCCAATTAGCATTAGCATTCTTGTTGAAGAACTTTCTTCCATATTTGTGCTTCTGAAATAAAGTTTTGATCCTGAATGATGTTGTTCTCAAAACCCTGTTGCATAAAACTGTGTAATCACATTGTTGTTTGTCCTTACAAATAACCCTACACCTTGCCCATCATTTTTGGCAAACCTAACCTCCCTACCATTCAACACATTGTGTTCCAGTACAACCTTTTTAAATTGCTTCAGAGAAGAAAATTCCATTCTCACCTTGAATTTAAATTCTTTTCTAAGGTTTTCATCTTTATTAAACCTTATCACTGAAGACCTACCATAATCACTATCACCGTCTGCCCCATATCAAGCTCATTTGTGATGTAATAATCATCAACTACATATTCCCTATCCATCTCAACTGTAGTCATCCCTTTATGTATTCCTTGACCATTATCCATTTGACTTGTACCATCAACATTATCTATTTGACTTATACCATCACCATTATATACTCCACCTGTACCAGCACCATTATCCACTCTATTGTTTAACTCTTCACCTATGTCTTCATCAAAATCGTGCATCATCTCCTCTTCACTATCTTCAAAGTGTATAACATCCAAAGAGTCTTCAGATGATTCACTGTCCTCACCATCTTCATTTTCCTTAATATTATCATGGTCTTTTTCTTTCTCTTTTAACCTCTCTCTATATAAGTTTTCTCACCACTAGATAATCTTGCCTCTGTATATATCCCAATATCACACTTAGTCTCCTCAATACACATAACTAACATTGTTGCATCCTCATCATTAACAAGGGGTTTTAGATAATTTTCAAGCGAGCCATGTTCAAACTTCCACCATATTTTCACATCTTCAATTTTAAACGATGAACCCATACTCTTAATTAAGTCACATGCTTCAAAGTATGACCATAAATCAGGGTCTTGCCCACATACATTATAAACACCCCCTTTCATATCTTAACCTTTCATCCTTTACAAATGACCCTTTGGTATAAAAGACAACCTTAAATAATCCCATTTCCTACACATTTCAAGAAAAAACAAGGGTAAATCAGACATTACCATTGGATTCAAACCAAAAACCCTAGATTTTGGGACCAACAAATGAGGCATAGAACAAACAATTAATACTCGAAATGATTAAACTATAACAAGTGAGACTTACCTAATCGTTGTTGGGATCGCAACAACCAGCTCAAGATTCGTCAATGTTGGGACCACAAGCATGGAAATGCTTTTTTTTGGAAATATCGAAAGTGAACTAGGACTTATAAAGGAATCATGATTGTGAAACACAGAGAATTTTGAAACATGAGAAATACCACCTAAGTTAATGAATTCCATCTCAATAAAAAAAAAAAATTATTTAATCTATCTGTCTTGCCACATAATTAGCCGTTAATGAAATTTGATATTAGAGACCAATTATTCAGACGGAAAATTTTAAAGAGATCAATTTTTAAAGAAAAATATTGAAAGGATTAAAAACGATGTTTGAAATATTTAAAGAGAACCATAAATATAAAAGAAAGTGACAAATTTGAGAAAATAAAAGAGAAATGAGAAACATTGTTTCTCCTTCCAAATCCTAATTTCACAAAAAAACTCGCAGCAACGTGATTTTGTTAGCGAGTTTCTCACTCACTCACTCGCTCTCTACATGACTCAGCGCACATTTCCTTCATCTTCTTCCCCAATCAACAAATTCGACGTCTTCAATTTCGACGACGAAGAAGAAAACATCGAAAAAGTTTCTCAGAAGATGATCGAAAAATTCAAAAACCCTAAGAAACCCACTTCCCCTCCCATTTCAAAATACCAATTCCTCCAGGCTTGTAAGCACTCGTTTCATTGCATTCCTAAACCTTTTTCTTCGATTTTGATTCGTTGTTTATGATTCTTCGTTTGTTCGTTGATTGGTTGATTCTCGCAGTTGCGCGTGGTTCTCAATCTGAACGTCAATCAAAGCACTTTCCTGTTGAGCCAATTGATCTCGATGATGACTTAGGTTTGTAATATGTAATGTATATATGTATGTGTATATATATCATCCATGCAAAAACTTTTGTACATTTTTAATTGCGTGATTTTGGTTTACTTTAATTTCTCTCAATTTATGTGCGATTCAGATGATGATGAAGAAGAAGGCAAATTCACAGCGAAGGAAGCTTTCAACAAACCGTTAGTGGTTGACGATGAGGAAGTTGAGGAGGATGGCAATGTTGAGGATGAGGATGTTGAAGATGACGATGTGGATGTCGAGGATGATGATGACGTTGAGGACGACGATACTTGTATTGATAATCAAGCCAAAAATGCTAATGCATGTTCAATTGATTCGTCGTCACTGCAATATTTTGCAGATAAAGATAACAATGGTTATGCTGATTTTGAAGATAGCTATTTTGATTTGAAAGTAATTACTCAATGCTCATTATTGCCTTTTTTTTTCTTACTTGATCATGTTTTTTTCTTTTTGTTTTTTTTTACGTAGAGAGCTATTGTTTAGGACTGTTGTTTGGTTTTTGTTTCAGAATCAGTCACTTCATGCACTTTCTGATGCTGAGGACGAAGATGATGATGATAGTAGTGAAATGAGTGTGTCTTCTAATTCTACTTTTGATCCTTCGAACTTTGAAGGTATTTTTATTCATGGTTTAAGATTTTTTAAGTGACGTGTAGAATTCTTATTTATATGAACAGTATGTTAAGCCTCGGTTTTTTTGTACTGGTTTCCCATTTATGAATTGTTTCTCTTGTGTTTTCAGATTGCTTTGAAGACGAGTTAGTGAAGGCCGACTCTATTGCATTTAAAATTGTAAGTGTATTTGTAATGTTTACATGATCAATTGCTTAGTGGTTTTACCTGTCTGCTGATGGCTGTAATTCGTGGAGGAAATATGTTTAATCGTCTGCTTTAGGGTGAATCAAATCAAAGAAAATGTTAATATGATGTTAAACGATAGTGTTTTGACAGTGGAAGTGGCATAGATCAAGTAACATAAAAATTAGGTAGATGGGAGAGAAGTATGAGATGGGGAAAACAATAAGCATGAGGGTGTTGTAATGAGAAATAGATGATTTTTTTTCTTTCTAATATTGATTTGTTATTGATTTGAAAGACAATTAGTCATCAGATAATTTGTTAAATGATAAATTTGGAACATGCAACTTCAAAGAAGTGTAGATGGGAAATAATAAAATTAAATGATCTGAAGGCAGGTGTAATGTTTTGCAATGGAATGTTATTCTGCATTTCCTTGTCCCGTTTCTCTTAAACATGTTGATTTTTTCCCTCGTTTGGCTCCTACAATTGGTTTGGACAAGCTTATATGATCTAAATCTGGTTACTCAGTCTCTTTAAAATTCAGTGTGTCTGAACAACTAGGTTTTAGCTGTATACGGAAGTTATAGATTTTCAATTGGAATTAATTTTTATTTTGTGCTCAATCTTGTTCTTTCATGCATTGGAAACATAGAACTTTATAACACATGGACATCTTTAAAATGTTGATTTTTCTGGTTAACTGTCCGAGTTTCTCTTCTCAACGTGCAGGATGACATAAAAAAGGTGGTTGATGTCCTCCCTGATTTTATTCAATATGAGGAGTTATATTCCACCAGTTCTCGATTAATATTCACATGCAACTCCCTTAAACTTGAAGGCCCAGCAAACAATCAAACTGGGAAAGCTTTTAAAGTTGAGTGGGAAACTGGAGATATTATAAAAATTGAATCACGTTGGATTGAAAAGGTAAATTGCTCGGTTATTTTTTTTTTACATTAATCCGTTAGTGATAAATTTGATTGTCGTCTGTTCTGTCTGTAGATTGAAACAGCATTGATCAACCTTTTCCTTAGATCAAAAGATTCTGAAGAAGTTGGCATTACAAATGAAAAACCAGGTGTGACTGCTTTTGAAAATAATATCGGCGGTCTTTTTAATACTTATGAAAGATCTAATTTTTATACCCTTTATCTACTTACTAGTGACTCTAGCAGGTTTACTGTAATTAATTGTTTGCCTATTGTTTGCTTAGTTAACTTGAATAGCAGAATGAGCAAAAATGAAGATTATTTCTTATGCCCTTGATATTAATCACAGTATTTCATGTCTTGCTTGGATTTTATAGGTTTTAATTTAATGTGATTGTAAGCTGATTGTGTTTTTGAGAAATCCGCCATAGCCGAAGGTGTATTTTTGTGGATTTAGCCTCTGGTTCTCGGCATTGGAAGACTATAATGAATACAGATATTTTTCTGGGCCTACTATAGTTTAGAGCCAAGTTAATTGCTTAAACGGCGGTTGGTGTTAATGTTCAATGGATAATAATCAACCTATTTTTTGCTTCTTATCCACTTATTTTTAAATTTAGGAACGTTTATAGTTTACTTTTACATTTCTATGTAAATTCCTATATGTATATGGGATGCTTTGACTCATCACTTTTCATCTGAATTAACGTTCATGCAGGCTTTAAGCTGTTGAAATTTGCAGTTTATGATTCATGTTGGTCCAGGGCTGAGGAGGCTATCAAATTATTGGATACGAGATACACAAATATCTGGAGTACAGTTTTTGAGTAAGAATTTTATTGTTTAAAACACATGTTTGTAAAGTATATTTGCTAAGTTTAATGATGTTTGCCTCACTACCTGAATCAAATATGTTTTTTGGGAAGCAACATTCAAATTGTCTCGTCATCGCTAATAAAAGAGATGAAAAGCAAAGCTGAAAGGGTATCTATTGGCGTCATGTGTTCTTTATTTAATGTTTGATTCAATAGGATATTCATTTCCAAGATAGATGTTAGTTTGTGGAATGTATCCGATAATTATTTTAACTCTTTATTTTACATATCCATTGATGTTTCTCAAATACATCTTTTACTAACTAAAAACACAACTATCATATAGGTACGCCGCACATTCGTTACGCCTTACCAATTATCGACACAATTGTATGTTTTTGTTACACATTCTTAGTAGAAAAAATATATATTCTGATTTAGGTGGAGGAAAGATATAAAACTATGTCAACTTGTTACGATCACGAGTATTTTTTTTTCTCTATGTAAATTGTTATAATCATATATTGACTAGTGACTTTGAAGTACAAGTGCTCCAAAATTCATGCCGTTCCCGGTACTGATTGTCGTGGATAAGTATCGAGTACGGACCAAAATTAAATTTTAAAATAAAAAATTGGGTACTTCGTTTGGGTACTTCATTTGGGTACTTGTGGGTACTTTTTTAACACGTACCCACGGTCTAATAAATAAATTATATATTTGTCTTGACTATAAAAATTTAGGTTTTCTTATTTTTTTGACGATGTTGATACTATTCCTATTATGTTGTATATTCTTTTCCAATTTATTACTATATTCATAACATTTATCTGACTCCTTTATGTAAATATCATCTCTTTAACCTGATTTTCTTGATTCTGTATATTTATTTTTTAGTTCTGTTTTAATTTGTGATATGATATAGTAAATTACGATAGACACTTTCTTGTATTTCAGTTTGTTAAATATCATATTTATGAAAGATATTTCATTGTATATTTTTAATACCGTAGTTGTTTTTCAAAATTACGTATGCAGAACCCGGTACCGTTATCATATCCATTCAACTTAGACTCCTGATTTCATTAACGTATATTGACTGTGTGGTATCTCAATTTATATCAATTTCCCCGTGTTCGTATTCACATCATACTATGCATCTAATCTTCCTAGATTCTTAACTACACAAAAGGTTGTTGCGGAATATTGTAACACATTAATTAATATTATAATTATATTTCCTTCTTGCAGCACTGATATAGATAACTATGGAAATAGTTCTGCATCGGGACAGGGTAGTTTGTTCTCTCAGAGGGGTTATTTTCCCAGGTAAGTTGAACAAACATTTCTATTTCCTTTGTTTGATATCTGTTGAACTACAATCTGTGTTACATCGAATGTTATTTAGTCAACTTTTCAGTTTTAATCCCTTGTTATGTTAATTATTATTATTATTTTGCAAAAGTATATGTTAGTTTGTTAATGCTGCTTGTCTATGATATTTGCTTTTACGGTTATATGAGCCAGAATTTCTTCGGTCCTTGGTACTATTGAAAGTACAGTTTTTTGTTTGCCTCGCCAGTATATATATTTTTTTCTGTAACTTTTAGGGCTTTATATGAAAACCATCACTGAGACTGCACCTAATTCAAATTCCTTTTGCTTTTTTGGTTCTTGACATAGTAATAGAACTTCTTGAATAATGCGTCGAAGAGTTCGATTCTTGTTGCCAATGCTCATAATACCAAACACGTCACATTTCTGCTTAAGGCAAGGTGGGCTTGGGTCTCAGGTTCTGACTTTAGGTCTTTTTTTTTGGGCGGGTTAGGTATATAAATAAAAACTGTTGTGAGCTTGTTTTTACCTGCCACTCCACGAAATTTGGTTTTCACAATTAAAACCTTTTAAGTTGGGTTTATGACAACTTATTTTTGGTTATAGGACATTTTTATCAGTGCCACTCCACGAAGCTTGGTTTTCACAGTTAAAACCTTTGAACTTGGGTGTTTTTTATGACAACTTAATTTTTGCTATAGGACATTTTATCAGTGCTGTATTGATTGATAGCTGTTGAAAGGAAATTGCTTGTTAATGTAATATAATGTGATATTATCCAGTTTTGATGAATCATTTGAAGAGGTTATTTATCCGAAGGGGGAACCTGATGCTGTTTCCATTAGTAAGAGAGATGTTGCACTTTTAGAGCCAGAGACATTCCTCAATGACACTATCATTGACTTTTATATCAAGTAAGTATGAAGGAAGAAAATGTAACTTTCAAATGGATTCCATAGATGATGCTCTAATCAACTCCAGTTGTCCAATTCAGAAACTAGTGTTTACCCTCTTTTTGTTTCTCATATATGCACATACATGATCTTTATAATCTCATCACTTGTACTCTTTTCCATCCCTTTACTTGAAAGTTGTTTAATTTGTTATTCTTGATAGTGTTGATTACCTATTTATTTCACCATTTTCTTTTCAAATTGAATAACTCCTCAAAGGTTTCGATACACCTCTTTATTTGAAGCTTCATATGAATTGGCATTTGCTGAATCTGGTGTATCTGTAGGTATTTGAAAAACAAACTCTCCACTGATGAGCAGAAGAGGTTTCACTTTTTCAATAGCTTCTTCTTTCGAAAGTTAGCTGATTTAGATAAAGATCCTTCAAGTGCTTGTGATGGCAGAGCAGCTTTTCAACGCGTACGTAAATGGACAAGGAAAGTTAACCTTTTTGAAAAGGATTATATCGTGATTCCCGTAAACTACAGGTTAGAGTCTAAAACAATATTTTGCTAGCAAATATGGTCTCTGCAGCATCTTAAGAATTATTTATGTATTTTGATGACAGTCTACACTGGAGTTTGATTGTCATATGTCATCCTGGGGAAGTGCCATGCTTCAGAGGCAAGATATCTCTCATTTAAGTTGTTATTTTATGGTTTATTTGGACGATCTTCATTTTATTTGATTGTCTTGTAGATGAAGAAATTAAAGAATATTCCAAAGTACCTTGCATCTTGCACATGGACTCCCTAAAAGGACATCATAAAGGTCTTAAGAATGTTATCCAAAGGTAGCTTGCTGATAGCCAAATTTGATAAATAATCAATGTCTGTTTTGTAGTGTATGATAATTCGGAGTTTGAAAATTATTTTCATTCATGAGAATATCTGCATGAAAATGTTTTCATGTTTAGTACATCTCAAAATTTTTGCATAACATTCACTCACTTTCATTCTTGTGGGGGAAGTGGGTACGCTGCATTCCCATGGTACAGTAACACTTTCTATTGTCATGTTACCAAACCGTTGCCATTTCTTTGATCGTGGTGACCACATGCCGTTGTCTATCACTGCTGGTAGTGGTTTCCAATTTCTAACTGCCATTAAATGCTACTGGTGATTGACAATGATCAGTAAATTCTGCCACTATCATTGATCACCATACCAGAATCCAGCTTCCATCACTCTTCTCCAGAATCTAGTCATTCTAAGTACAACCGCCTTCTACTACTCTGCTGTTGCTGATCACCAGAATTCAGCTATCCTCTGTTATTGCCAATAGTTTGACTGTTGAGTTTGGCTAACTTCATCAGTCACAAGTCTTGTCACCTACACCTGACAACAGTTAAGAGTGGCTGGTGACTTTTGCCAGCAGGCCGATCACTGATAAACAGAATCCGACCAACAACCCGTCACTTTCATAATCAGTGACCAAACAACTTAAAGCTTGTATTAAAATTTTGTCTGAAGAAGAACCATGAGCTTGGATGGTTTCACAAGGCTTTTTTTGGCCGAGTTATTTCATTGAGTCAGTGCAGAAAATTGTATTAACCCAATATAGTAAAAATGAAACTAATAAAGTAAATGCTTGTTTCAGTGGATTTTATTTGTTTTCTGTCATCGCGGAGTCTGACACTGCTTTCTTCCATATATTGTATAATGACAGCTACCTGTGTGAAGAATGGAAAGAGAGACACCCCAATATGGTGGATGACGTTTCTCCGAAGTTTTTACAGCTGCGGTTCATCTCACTGGAGGTAGCCTCTTTATAAATCTAACAAATTCAGTTCAACTTTTTATTGACTTCTGTTTTTCCTTCCATTTTTTTTCCAGCTTCCTCAGCAGGGAGACTTGTATGATTGTGGTCTGTTTTTGCTTCACTACGTGGAACGTTTTCTGGAGAAAGCTCCTATCAGATTTAACCCTTTCAATATAACAAAGTACTCCAATTTTGTGAGTGACTTTGTATTGGACTAAAACTTGAATCGATGTGATATAGTCTCATTTTGAAATTTCAATGATATAATGTTGACTCTTCATTTTAATTTTACATTTCAAGCATCAGTATTGTTATTGGTATCTACCATTCATGATTCTCTAATCAATTCCATTAAGCGTTACATGAAATGAGAATTTTAGGACAATCATGACAATATATTGGCTGCTATGATCCTCTGTTTTCTCATGGGTTAATTTTATATTTCAAGCAGCAGTATTGTTATTGGTATCTGCCATTCATGATTCTCTAATCAATTCCATTAAGCGTTATGTGAAATGAGAATTTTAGGACAATCATGACAATATATTTGCTGCTATGATCCTCTGTTTTCTCATGGATTTAGGAAGTAAACTGTAACTGAGAAATAGCATTTTCTGAATATGTTGTTCACAAACTTTGTTTAAGTATTTTACTAGATAAGCCGTTTAAGCAAATAATATATTTGGATTATAAGCAATAATGTATAATTGTTCCTTGGTGCAGAATTTATTACATAAATGCACGAGTTATACTTTTACTGTGATACATTGTTCCTTTTCCCTCCCTCCCCTTCTCTTGACGGTTGTAAGACACTTGTATGCTTAAAATGTTGTATACACTATTGTATTATATTTTTTACTCGAACCTGTCACATCAGATTGTGTCCGGTGCTCTGCTCATTCATGCTTATGAATAACTGGCTTTCAGTTGACTCACATTTGATTTTTTTTCATTCAGTTGACTAGAAACTGGTTCCCTCCGGTTGAGGCTTCTCTGAAACGATCTCATATACGGAACTTAATTTATGATATATTTGAAAATAGCTCTTTGCAAGCTCCCCCTGTTGATTGCCATGGCAAAGGTCCTCTCTCGTCAGTGTCTGACATTATTGAGTACAGAGCAGAAGCAGGTTCCTCTGGAGCAAGCTGTTATCCTATTATGTGGCATGGGAATCCTTCTAATGGCTCTACTGAGACTGATATTCAGTTCCCAATTGTTTCACCCATAAGAGCTGCACCATGGGTGAGGGAACCTGAAATTATTTTCAAGGATTTGCAAGTACCAGCTGTATCTCCACATTTCGATTGTCGGCAGATGTCAGTGTCTCATCAAAGAGGATTCATGTCACCAATAGAGGTATTTTAGTCATTGCTTTGATTAATTACTGCAATTATTTCATGGTTATTTATCTGTTATAAAAAACAGCCTCTCTGTTATAAAAAACAGGGGTTCGAACCCTGCTGGAAACAGCCTCTCTGTTATAAAAAACAGGGGTAAGGTTGCGTACATCCGACCTCCAGAGCCCATAAAATGGGAGCCTCGTGCACCGGTTGCTGGAACAGTTTTTTAGGGTTTCTACTTGACATTTATTTAATCTACCATGACCGAGAACCCGGGGTTGCATAATTGAGATATATGACGTCGATGCTGTACTATTTTCTCTTTACACTTTTTTCTAAAACATAAAAGAAAGGGAATAACTGAAAAAAATCAAAATGCCTTGACATCTGATAATATGATTTGGAATATAAAGAAAAGGAACAAATGAAAAGAATACAGTCAACACAGTTTAACTTAAGCCCTTGTGCTCTCGGGTTAAATGGGATGAACCTACTCAAACTCACGATTATTGCAAATTACAAACTCTAAAATAAAAGATAAAATGAAATTGGTTGGCCTTTTCATTTGTTAGCAATTAAGGATATAGTTTGTAATATAGTTATTTCTCTGTACCCTCTTGTTTTTTTTTCAAAATCAAATTACTAGAATAAAGAGAAAAGTTAAAGTGCTACCCAATTTTCATCTGGTCTGAATTGTTAAACTAATGGGGAGAAACATGAAGCCACACATTTTTCTCTAGACCACCTGAAGAACTTGACGAATGCTTACTCTGATGCAGGAAACTGAAGAGTTTGGTGATGAAAATGCTATATCAATAGTGAGAACAAATTCTCAAGTAGGCATTTTAGCATCGGATTTCCCATCCACATCTTATACAGGTAAAGATCATAGAGATCCAGAAACAACACAGCAGGGATTCTCTATGAATTTTGTGGAATCTGTCGAGGACCTTTCATATTCAAAAACTACTAGTATACCTTGGGACAGATTGGATTCAGGTGTTCTTGAAGATCAGCCTCTAGAGAAAATTGAGGAGTCTAACATTCCAAACAAGATAGCACTTGAGGAGGTTGCAGACTCTGTTCTTGATTCTCAAGATTCAAATGATGGGCATGAGATTGATGCGTGTGTGAAATCAAGTTCCTCACTCGGAGAAAATTTAAATTCTGTCACCCATCAAATATTGGACTTTGCTCAGAATACTACTAGTGTTGGGGATGATAGTCTACTTGGCAAGAGAGAGCCACTAACAATCGAACCTCAGGAACATGATGATAAAAGACGGAAGCTTATGGATGAAACATGTGGTCCAAGTCGACGATTCACAAGGAGGATGTTGAAAGAACCATGTTTAATCTAATATCATGTGAATAGTATTAACAACAGTGGAAAATGTTACAGGGAAATTAGATGTTAATATCTGAATTGAAGACTGAAGAGGTAGAAGAGAAATTTGAGTAGATTAAAGAGCTGTGTTGGAACCAATATGTGGCCCTTGATTAGTGAATACTTTTGCGTAGACACATGCCCGAGTTGCTTCGCTTCTGCAGGATGACTTATAAAAATGTGGATATTTTTTTAATAGTTTTGGTGGGACTAGCAAAGTATAGTGTGAATATGTCAAGTGTGACATAGAAAATTGGATGATGATGTATCACCAGAATGGGTGATAAAATATGGGACGGGCAGTCTTGGGCTCTTTTTGCGATGTCCAACTAGTTAGATTGTAGTTTATTGGATAAACAATGAATTTAGTTTTTAAACTATTATCATATTTTCAATTTATTCTATAAACTATTTAAATTAAATTAAATTGCAAATTTGATCCTCCTATTATTTTTTTTTTGAGTTTTGATTCCTCAATTTTAAAAACCAGTTTTTGGTCCATAAATTTGGTTTCTTTCAGGATTTTAGTCTCTTAGGTCAAATTTTAATGATATGGCAGTCTCGCTGCCATTTTTATAATAATTAATTTCATGTCATTTTTATTTATTTTTAATTATAATAAAATTAAAAAACTAGATTATTTAAAATTAGAAAAACAAACATTGAAAACTGGCAAATGGAAGCCGTATCTTCAGGTTACAATTAAAGTTTTCTTGCCACTAAACCACTCAACTCGATTGTTATTTTTCGAAAATAGTAATAAATAACATATAGTTATCAGACGTTAAATTACAACTGCTCAAGTCAAGTTGTCTCAGTATGTTATCAGACGTTATAGCAATCCTGCAAGTCTAGCATAGCAAGTTGAGGTTAGATTTTACTGTTTTATCATGAAGAAGTATGTGAATAATGAACTTAATTATGAATAATTTGTTAGTAAAAGTCACTAATTAGATTAATTTAATTGCTAAATCATATAAAGTACAAATCTAATTGATGAATGCACTATCTTAGTGATCATGCGATTTAAATTTGACATCTATAAGCATACACCTTTATCTTTAATATTGTCATAATTAATATAAAATGTTTAATAAAATTTTAAGATATATGAAGAAATGAGAGCAGTAACATAGTCACCGTTTGCAAGTAGAAAAGTTCTAAACTGATAAAAAAGATAACAACACATTTCACATCTACTCAGATCTTTCAAATTACTCGATGGTTGTACGGTTGAGATTGTAATCACTTGTATCGAAGTAGTATGTTGTTCGATAGAAACAAAGTTGTATTGAAATAAACTAATATATGTCGAGTTATATTAAATGTCGAAGTGTCGAAGTATGTTACTTGACACCGAATATCAACTTAAACCAAAATAAGTATTTTGGGCTTTTATAGCTTTGAGATTTGGTTTAGGTAATAAGCAAACCTAAAATTATAAATAGAGGGAGTAACCCCTATTATTATACGGTGAATAATATTGTAGTTTATATAATAAAGGGCACTAAATTTACTCTGAAGAATTCACAAACTCTTATTCTTCCTTTTGTTCAAACCCTAATTCCTTCTCCTTCCCCAATCATCTTTTCTCTTTTCTCTCTTGTTAATTACTGCACATAATCATCTTGCAATCAATGTTGTTTGATTCACTCAAGTGAAGAGTGAAAAACAAGAGATTTCAATCGGGTTGATTGAATCTTGTTCATCAAGATTGATTTGGAATTCTCCATAGATTTGGTGTAATTCTCAACATCTGGTATCTAGAGCTCTGACTAAGCGATTCGAGGCACGCAATAACGATGACAGTGAATCATCCAAACAACCATTTCCGACGAGTCTTTCGATTCTGAAGAGTTGGAATTATGAGAATTGGTGCAAGCAGGTGAAGGTGGTTTTCTGTTATCAAAATCTTTGAGATCTTGTGAAGGAAGGTGTGCCACAGTTTGCAGAAGAAGCGACAAATGAAGAAAAGGATGGACACAAATAATTAAAAAAAAGATTATAGAGCTCTCTTTATAATTCATCAATGTGTTCATTCAGATAATTTTGAGAAACTGAGTGATGTTGAATTAGAAAAATAAGCATGTGAAATTCTGGGGAAATAATTTGGTGGCGCTGAAAAGATGAAAGAGTTAAGGTTACAAACTCACAAAAGAACGTATAAGATGTTGTTGATGGTCACAACAAGAGCTGAAGAGAGATTCAAGGATCAATGGTACTTAGACTTAGGATGCTCATCACACATGTCTGGAAGGAAAGATTGGATTGTCAACATAAAGCCCTTGATGAAGAACATGGTGAAATTCGTAAATGGCAATACTCTAGCAGTTGAAGGTATTTGTGGTGTTCTGATTATGAGGAAATATAGAAAAAGGTCTCTGATTTCCAATGTATTATATATAGTAGGCATGAAAATTAATCTTTTAAGTATATGATAGTTGGTCAAAAAGAACTACAAAGTGTCGATTGAAGACAAGATGATGAGAGTTGTCGACTCAAGTGGAAGATTGATCTTGAAGGCTCCCATGTCTCAGAATAGAACCTTCAAGGTTAAACTTAATATGATGGAGCACAAGTGCCTTGTGACTGCAGTTAATAAGGATGAATGGATATGACATTATCGGCTTGGTCATCTCAACTTCAAAGACATCAGAGATTTGAAAAGAAGAAATATGGTTTCAGGATTACCAAAATTCAACATTCCAAACGAGGTGTGTGAGGAATGTTTGCAGGCGAAGAAACACAAGAATAACTTTAGCAAGGATGCAGGAAGAAATTCAAAGGCAATTCTTGAAATCATATACTCTGATGTATGTGATCCAATCCAGGTGGATTCAATTGAAGGTAATAAATACTTTGTCAATTTCATAGATGATTTTACTAGAAAACAGTGAACTTACCTAATAAAAAAGAAAATTGAAGTGATCGAGGTATTTGTCAAGTTTAAATCTATGGTCGAAAGACAAAGTGGTCGAAAGCTCAAGATTTTGAGGACTGATGGTGATGGAGAATATGTGTCGAAATACTTCGACATGTTATGTGAGAAAGAAAGGATTGTGCACGAGGTGGTGCCACCCTACACTCCACAATAAAATAGAACCGCATAAAGGAAGAATCGAACCATCATGAATATGGTGATAAGTATTTTGAACGACAAGCATTTACCTAAAGAGTTTTTGGGTGAAGCCGTGTCGACTGTAACATGCATTTTGAATAGATGTCCAACGAAGAAGCTAGAGGAATCACGCCAGAAGAATATTGGTCTGGTGTCAAGCCTAGCTTGAGCCATCTAAAGATATTTGGATCTATATCACATAGACATGAACCAGATCATTTTAGAAGAAAACTTAATGACAAGTCAAGTCAAATGATCCTAATAGGATATCATTTGACTGAAGGATACACGTTTTACAACCCAGTGAACAAGCAAGTAGTGATCATCAGGGATATGATCATAGACGAGCTTAAGGAATGGAATTGGACTGGAAATATAAACAAAGATTCAATGAGAATCTTATATGAAGAACCAACCACTGAAGTCAAAAGAGAAGTAGTTCGACCAGAAGAAGTTAGAGGTGAAGCAGGCCCAAGCAAACCTCAAAGAACAAGACGCATGCCTGCAAGGTTGCAGGAATATGTGATTACATCAGATGACATAGTCGATAATGAAAGTTAGCTGGTACACTATGCTTTTTATGTAGATGTCGAACCAGTCAATGCAACTGAGGCATTGAAGGATTCAAAGTGGGTGAAAGCTATGAATGGGGAACTGAAGTCCATTGAAGTCAACAATACCTGGTCACTTTTCAAATTGCCTAAAGGCAAGAAGGAAATCAATGTGAAGTGGGTATATAAGGTGAAGTTGAATCCCAAAGGGGAATTAACTCGACACGAGGCAAGACTTATGGCGAAAGGCGAATAAGGAATGAACTTCAATGAATTTTTTACACCTGTTGTTAGAATCGAAACAATCATATTGGTTGTTGGTTGATAAGTGTCAAACTGTAGTTAAATTTATGTATAGTTTTGTGGCACTTATTGGCTTATTTTGTTGGAATATCGTAAATAAACCTCAATTTGTATGTAATTATGTACATATTGCCTATAGTTGCTTTATCATGTAAATATTGTATTGTTTGATATTTTTTCATGTCTTTTTGTAGGTATTCATGCATGGTTGAAGCATTGATCAATTAGAGACAAAAGCACAACTTCAAAGATTCATTTTTGAGCATATGTCAAATGGCCTAAGCCAAAGCTGAAGCACACTACAACATTCTAGGAAGTAGTATTTCTTGGCTTTCCACCACGCTGAGCGCCCCCCAAGTGTAAAACTCAATATTTTCTTGATCGCGCCAAGCTCCCTCTGCATGGGCTTAGCGTGATTCCACTTTTGACCCATTATTTATTCATTCTTTCATAAATTTCAGGGTTATAGTTTTGAGGCTTTTTACTTCCATTTCCATAAGAACCCTTATTTGAGTAGAGAGACTTAGAAAGAAACATTAGAGGCTACATCTTGATGATTCTTAGTTGGATTTGTATCAATCGTTTTGACAACGCGAGAGTTGTTGGTTCATCTTCCTTCTTCTCTTCGTATGCTTTATTGTTTGGGTTTGTTTGTAAGTTTACTTTGATTTTATGAATATGTATTAATCATGGAATTGTATAATATTTTTTTTACAAATCTATATCGATGTTATCATTGTTTACTTACTGTATGTTTGAATTTGAGTTGCTATAGAGATATACTGATCAGAACTGGATTTAGGATGAACATCTATTAGGTTCTAAACTCTAGAAATAGATTTAGATCTAATATTCGCAACGGGTAACGATTCTTAATGCTATGTATTATTTAGTTGCATTAGACATCACCAATGAGACAATATAGTAGAACCCTCGTCGGTGCTTTAGACATGAACACTGATGTGAGAAATATGTGATGATATTGACGAGCGTTTTAGGTTG